TGTTATCTTTCGTCTTTTTCCCAATCTCGGGTTTTTTGTTTTTTTTTCTTAAATTATATATATATATATATATATATATATATATATATATATATATATATAATATACATATATAAATATATATATAATTGTACTTTTTCTTTTAGGCATTTTGTATATCCGTGTGCACATGTGTGTACGTGTGCTTGCGCGTCTACGGGGGTGTAGTGAGCAAAAAGAAAGAAGATGGTTACGCGACACACCGCATCGGCACCGGATGCTTTCGAACGAACCGGTTAAGCATAATTGTAAATAGCTCAAATAAATTGTTATCTAAGGCAACGCGCTTCTAGAGGAGCGTGTGCACGTGTATGCAGGTGTGCGTAGGTGCACTTGTACGTGCGCATGTGTGCGTGCGGCGTTCACGTCGCGTTTCCTCAAAAATAAAACAATGTTTCTTTTTTTCTTCTTTTTTTTAAAGAAAACAACGTCGCAACAATTATCCGACACGCATCATTCCGCAAGAACGGTTACCTAAAACACGTAAAATGATATCGTGCGCTAAAGAAAAAACTACTAAATGACACGCAAGCATTTTTTTATGTTGTTGTTCTCAAGTATACGCTCCACGTGTCGTTGACGAACGACCGAAACGAACTATAGAAGAGCGGTTCTTGTTACACAGTACCCGCTTCTTGTATTTTTTCTTTTTTCCTTTCTTTTTATTTCCCCGTCTAAAAATTTCGGTGCCACCGCCGAAAGCCCGTAAGGTCGGCCGGAGAGTTTCGCGAGCAGTCCGAGATTTCCGGAGCCTGGGACGATGGGACGAGATATTAAACGCAAAACAAAAAAAAAAAAAAAAAAATAGGATCAAGAATAAACACTTATTCTTTAGGGTAATGACTCGTGCAGTCCAGAAGAAAGAAAATAAAAAAAAAAAATAAAACGGTTCTCGGTTATTTCATCTTTTAAGAGAAATAATGTATGCGCCGTCCCGCTTACCGTGCAGGGAGGCACGGCGGCATAATTTATCAGGGGCTTATATTCGTTTGCTCAGACAAACGCGGAGGCGCGTAACTTCATTCATTGGGGTGTGTGTCTCTCTCTCTTTTCGCCTTTTTTGTTTTTAAACTTCTACATAGATATTATTCAAGCTTAGCGGAACGGGTTTGTTGGCGCATCAAGGGACAAAAGACAACGGCATACGCTCTTCCGTGTTATCGCCTTTATTTCTATCCTTTTGTATTCCTTCAACTTTCGGCCCGCGAATTAAAACGAGCAGAAAATCTCGAAAGCGCCTTCACCGGACCCTTTACATCAAGGAATGTTTCCAGACTCACCGCACAAAAAACGCAGCGTGTTTTTTTTTTTTTTTCTTTTTGATAATTCAAATCACTAATAGCAAGTGCTTGTCGGTAAAATGCATAAACGCGCCGCTACGGTACATACGTTCACGTATGTAAACGAAGGCTCAAAATACTGGACCTGCGATGTTTGCCCGAAAGGTACATTCTAAAGCCGGGATCACACACGCTGCATATACATCTTAAAAAAAGACAGTCTGCACACAAGTTCGAACGGGAGTGACCGCGAGATCCGGGCTTCAAATGCCGCATGGCAATGAGTTCAACGAGAAACTTGGCACGCGGCATTCTAACCAGATTTATTGCCGTGACTTGAGTTTGCAGACTGTATTTTGTATTGTGTATAAATAGTGTGACCCTGACTTAAAATATCTAGAGCATCTCCTTTCCTTGTACAGCATTTGGCAGAGTCAACCGCTGCAATCTACGCTGGAAGATCGGTGAATAATAGAAACAAAATACATGGTTAGAAATAAAAAAAAAATAAAAAAAAACAGTATGCGCTGTGGCACTAAGTCGATAAATATGGTTTCCAAAAAAAAAAGCATAGCCTGGGAAAATCATTGAGGTTATTCACAAGTCTCCATTCATCCGCTGCTAACACTTATTTAGGTATTATAAAAACTTAATTGACCGCGCCATCGGAATTAGGAGACCGATGTATGGGTGATGATTAAATGCAATATAAGCGTCGAGTGCAGTGGAGCTACAGCTAAAAAAGTTTGTTAGAAATTCTTTCTTGAATTTGGACTCGGAAAAACAAAATTACGACAAAACTACAACCGATGATGCGAGCCACATGCCGCAATCTTTCAGTATATGACGTGCAGTAACCGCGCAGTTTTGAAAATGTTATTGCAGGGAACGTAGAACAGTCAAATTAATACTCAACAAGTTCCATTTTATTTTCATATCTTTTTTTTTTTTCAAATACACGACGTGTGCGCGCTCAAAAAGTCGGCTGTGTTCCCTTGCACACGGCTGCGCTGCGGGGCAACAAGATGCGCAGGATCCCGATGTCTTGTTTTGTTTACCTGTTTGTTATATTTGGCGGGTGTCGCTCCCTCGCTACCACACAGCCCGTTACGGCGTGGTGATAAGCGCATTTAAAAAAGCTAGCTCAAAGTTCTAAGAAAACCACGAACAATAAAAAAAAAAAAGAGCGGAACTTCGGAGCACCGTTTCTGTTCAAATAACAATAATAATAAAATAGAACAGCAGGTTGTTTCGAAGCTATCGTCAAACGTTTTGAAAATTCGCAAAATCCTACCGCAATGACATGGTAGCGTAGCGGGACCCGAGTGGTATATAATTTCAGTGTTGAGAAACGGAAGTTAACTTTTGGCGCAATGTTGGCTCAAAGTTGCCACAACAGTGGCTCAATTTATCCCAGGTTTTGTGAAATGTAGGAGAATGTAGGAGAAAAAGAAGTTAACTTTAGGTCCAATGTTGACGCAAAGTTGGAACAATAGTGGCTCAATTTATCCCAAGTTTTATGAAATGTAGCAGAATGTAGGAGGGTACGCGATTTGGCGTACCCTGGCACAAATGACGCAGCAATTCCATCGCCGATATACGTCCGATTTTGGTATTTATAGGTGACGATCAATTATCGTGCTTTCCCGCATGTTTTGCGTTGCAGTCAACAAATGGGATCTTGCTTATACTTGCTTCCTTTTAAAAGTTAAGAAATCTACGTGAAGGCTGTAAACACGCGCCAGATTGAGTCGCCCATGGCAACCTTCTCTTCTCTTACCGAGATATGAGCCACTGAAGCAGGTGTTGGCGAGCCTCCACAAAGTCCTATGCTGGGGAGAAGGGCAAACTAGCACTTAAAATGGCAATAACCTGTCGTGCTGAAGCGATGATGAAGGGAAGCGAACGGAATAAGAGGAAACAATAACTGAAGGTCCGTAATGGCGGCGCCCACGCACAGCTGCCTGGAAGCGCCTATACGGCGTGCAAGTTCGCACGAGCCTCGCGCACATCGAGCGTATCTTTACCCGCCGAATGTGCCCCATCTGCTTTTCATTCTGGGGGGATCGGTGGCCCAGTGATCTAGCGCACACCAGCTCGGAGCACGTGGAGCGAAAGCTATCGCTGCAGAACCCAGGATCCTGGGTTCAATCCCCACTCCTGCCCGTTTCGATCTGGATGAGCACGGTACCGGCGTGCGGTCGTGTATCAGCACTGCGTGGTGCACGGTAAAGAACCCAGGTTAGCGGTTGCACCGCACTGGCTAAATTGCTCATCTACAGCTGAGACACCAGACGCCCACTGAGGCAGACTAACTTCCGGCTGTATAAACATACACAACACAATATTTGCTTTGCTTTTGATTCTCCCGGCCTCAACCAATACGACGGCGCGCCATTCGGCTGACTCGTCTGCGTGCGTGTCCTATACGCATCCTTGAAGTTAACCTTCGGTTAGCGCGCCCCTACTTGCGCTGCGATGGGCCAAAAGGCGCGTTTTGGAACGCTTGCTCGCCGTTTTCAGCTAATGCCGCCTAAAAAACAAGAGCTCTATTCCCCCATCCCCCTTTTCCTCTTTTCCAACGTCTAGACTGGACGGATGGATGGATGGATAAGGCTGAACCTTTTGAATCGGGCGGCAACTTGCGCCACCTAGCCAGTGTTTTTTCTTTCCCCTAACCATTTTTTTTAATCATAGGGTTATATATATACACTGATCTCTATGTCTATTTTCTGGATTGCGTTTGACCAGCTCCGCCTATGCACGGGAATCCGGCCACGGTCGGCCATCTTTTTGGTAGAGTTATATTATCACTAGCCATCATAGTAACATGGCAGACAGCGCAATGGCGGCAGGCTGCCATAAAATAGCCGTGGATCTAGTACACTGTACCGTGGGTGATATTTCGTGCTTGATTGAAGTTGTTCGACGAAGCAGATTCTCGAAACCCGGCGTGAACGGTAGCCTCATCTTCGAGGAACCGGCGAAACTTCTACGAAAGCGAAGCACCGGGGGAAAGCAGCGCAGCTCGCCTCGAAAGCAGACTCCGTACCGGCGCCTGCTTTCGATGCTTCTTTCGATGTGACTTTTGATTCGTGCTGTGCTGCTTTTCCACGGTGCTGCGATTTCGTGGAACTTTCACCGAGCCCTCAAAGATCGGGATACCGCTCACGCCGGGTTTCAAAAGCATGTTTCGTCAAACAATTTCAATCAAGCACAAAATATCACCCACCATATTTTGACGGCGGCCTTCCACCACACCTGCCAGAACGCTGTCTTCCATGGATGGATGATAGTGGCTGCAGGAGCTGTACCTTGGCTAAAGGTAATATAATTCTACCAAAATATGACCGCCAGTGGCCGCATTCGCGGAGCGGGCAAACGCGATCCAGCAATTGTCATAGAGATCAGTGTATATCTAGATGTTCATTCTTAAAAGTTATATACTAGTGGATTCACGCAGCACCACCTAGCTTGTGTCAGCATCGCCGCAAGCGCGTCCATGCAGCGTGTCACTGAGCGCGACGCTAGCGCACGGCGACGTTAAGGCACCTGCCGCGTTGCGGCGTCGTGATGACGCTATGATGACGTCATCATTTGCGGGCGTTATCTTCAATGTGTTATTGATTCAGCCACACGCTGCCCTAAAAAAGAAAGGCTCGGCGTAGGTGCGGGTCTGACCTAGGTTGGTGGCCGGGTTCCGTATCCAGTCCTCGGCGGCCTCCTTGACGTAGAAGACCTCCCAGCCGACCGAGTTGTACGTCATCCGTCGCACGTCCAGGAGACGGTTGCCCTCTTCCTTGAGCGCCGAGGCACCGGGAAGCGCCTGGTACACCCGCACCTGCCGCAGCATCAACGAGACGAAAAATGGAAGCAATGACCACCGATCAAAGCACGAACACAAGAAAGCAACCAAAAAAGAGATAAGAGTGCAGCAATTCTGAGTTAAAGAGCGATCGCTTAGATTTGTTTACAGGACATTAAACACTTGTTTCGGGGATTGTCCTAGATCTATCCATTTTTCCGCTAAATTTAGCTGGAAATCCGAATTGATGTATAGGTCACACGACGTCAATATCCCCTCTAAATTTAGCGGTGAAACTGAATTGGTGTATAGGTCACGTGACGTCAGGTCAGGTCAGGTGACACGCTGCAGACATGTTCCAGGAATACAAACGTACGAGGCAGACATGCTTCGAATACGTGACGATGACATCACGTGACCCCGTGACGTCACGTGCCACCGTGCCGCCACGTGACACGGAGAAATGTTCCGGCTAAATTTAGAGGGCCACGACGCGTGTGTGCGCACGAAACACACACGGAGATGGGGATCTGCGTGCGAAACCTTGCCAATTGGGAATTTTCGCAGACCGTTGTTTTCTCTACACCTCCGCGACGTTCTCCGCAGCGGAGACGCCGTTACTGCGCATGCACTCTGCTAGCCTTGTTTTGCAGAGTTCGGGATTAGTGGGTTTGCGGACAGCGTAGGCAAACGGCGGAAACGATCTTCGAAAACTCTCTTTAAAGACGGCCTATCGCCGTGAAAGTATGGTGCCTCGAACGCGTCTTTCCGACCGGTGAGTTTACGGCGTCCAAAAAAGTGGTTCCTTCGATTTCCGCACGATGACGTCACAGAAGAGTCACGCTGCCGCCGCCCGCAATCCTGGCGGTGTCCCACAGCAGCGGTGGCGGACACCTGTTCCGCTGCGGGTTGCTCTCCAGCTTCACAGCCCACGGAAGCTTCCACAGCCAGGAGTTGAGACGCCATGACGACCGCGACACTCGCGTTTGCTCTTGCTTTTTTTTTTTTTTTCCGCAATTTTTACGATGATAGTTGCCAGGATCGCGACATCCGACAGCGTAACACCCCGGCTCTTCTGACATCACTTGTTGCCACGTACCGGGACCACGTTCGATGCGCGGGCGGCATACGGATCAGTCGGACACGCGTCCAGGCACCGTATAGTAAAAGTGCACTCGAAATGAATAACATATGCGCCAAATGGTACAACATCTCAAGCTGGCGTGGTCACAATGCCCATGCATCATACAAATGACAGTCTGCAAACACGAGTCACTACACTATCCGTGGTTCGAATGCCGCGTGCTCAAGTGTTCTGCTTGAACTCACCGCCATGCGGAATTCGAAGCACGAATCTCGCGGTGAATCGCTTTCGAACCTGTGTGCAGACCGTCTGGACGACGACCACCGAGGCAAGGTTTTGCCTCGGCGGCCGTAGTTCAGAAAGCTTAACATTCATTGACCACGACAAAAGTTAACGGTGGTGCGTGATTGGTCCACCATGTGAATGCACCGTAAGGAGCACTTTTGGATGAGTTTGATTGACAATCGAACGGTTAAGTCGCAATCGCACTGCTCGCACATCGAACAAGAGACGCGGAGTTTCTCTACAGACACGACGCAGACTTATCTGAGGGCACGCGTTAAGGCTGTTCGAAGTATGTTTGCGACTTATTTCGTCTGCGGACAGTTCTTGTATGACCAATACGTGAGGGGATCGTCGTGGAAGGAAGAAACACGTCACAGACTGTCTTTTGTATGATGTAGTAGCAGCGTGAACACGGATTTAAGAAGAAAACAATGCGAAGCGTGACTTCCTAGACAAAGTTTGAAAAAAGGAACACTATATCGGAAGCCATGCTCCGTGCGGGGATCATGTTGGCTTCCTGACAGCCGGACGTTGACAGCACTAAAGAAGCGTCTCTTCCTGCTGTGGAGGCTCTAGAAACCTGACAGTCTGCTTGTACAAACCATGTTCCAAAAAAAAATGAAGCAGAAGATTTTTAACGGGTGCTGGGTCCTTCCGAAAAATCCCAAGACGTATTGTTCGTTTTTTTTGTGTGTGTATGTTTTTGTTTTTTGTAGGTAGGAGTTGTTCTTGAAAGCCCTTTAAGAAGCTTACGTACGGTTGAGGCAATCACAAACAATGGGGTATTATACAATTGTATCCCCACTGAGATCACCACAGAGTTTATAAACAAGACCCCTGGACGAAAAAATAATAACACCGATAACAAAATTTTTACAACGCACGAAACCATGTTGTTGTTGTTTTCTCTGAGCCAAAAAGCGTTCTTTACGAGAACGAGATTGAAACCGCCCGGCGCAATTTGTTTCGTGTATCTTTATTGCGTCGTTCTTCTTTCAGCAGTTTCCGCCTTCGTTGGAACCATACTGGCCTTAAGCAATAGCGACCGCTTCGAAGCAACTTGCTCATTTGATGTTGCAATCTGATGAAGGTTGGCCGTTACTTAGTGCCAGCCGCAGGGCACAAGCAGAGTAAGAACACCGCAGAGGCTAACAGAAGGGGCACTTGGATTAGGTTGGCTAACTGTCGAGCGTTTACTCACGCTAAGCAAAAGTAATTCGTGCCTTCTTGCGCCTTTCTGTGGCTAACCAGTCGCTCGACTGTTTGATGCGCTTAGCACACCCGAGCTCGGGATCAAACTTCGCAACGTCGGGCAGGTATATACGCAGCGCAGTCTTTTTTCCCACAAGACTCAAAGGGAGAGGATCTGCCTTTTGTTCGGAACGATTCTGTGTGACATCTCAGTCCTTCATTGCAAAATAAACGAATACAAAAAAACCTGCATTATACAGAAGGTTACACTTAAGCGGTTTGTGCAGGTGAGTTATACGGCCAGGGGGACATTATGTGGGTGGCTATTCTTTGCGATAAGTGGGCTAAATAATTAAAATTTGTTAATTAACTCTTTAATTAGTAAAAATAGACATTAGGTTCCAAATAGAAACTTACTGAGCGTCATCGAAAACCACTAAATCAACTCTTTTTAGAACAACTTAGAGCTCGCGAGAAACTCGGGGGCGCGCCAAAGTTACCCGTAAAGCAGGGGCGAAACTACGAGCAGTGGCGGAACGCGGATGATTAGACTATCATCCGCGCGTTATTATACACACTAACGTAACTATACACACTACCGCAAAACAAATTATATCTCGTGATTCAGGATCGCCGACTTGGACTAAACAGATCATAACCCAAAAATCGTAAAAATGGAGTGGAGTTGCCCTTTAAATGTTTAAAACTTCTATGGACAGCTATCCGATTGCAGTAAGATGTCGTACGAACGTCACCGAGGCACCAAATTCTGTCTTGTCAGTGACCAGAAAGTACTTTCGAGTGTCCGGCAAATGGACCGCGGCGACCGCCAAAGCATTGCACACTCTTCCCCGCACATTGCTAGGCTACGTTCGTGCAGTCGCGCGCTTTCCCGCTAAATTTAGGGGACTGCCACGACCCTACAAGATACGTGGCTTGCCAACCAGATACGTGGCTTGCCGCCGTCGCTCATAGATGGCGGTAGGTGTCCAGAGTTCGGTGTCTTCATTTCTTTGCGGGGGACACGATCCTGGGGAAACTAGCCCTGAACAGCTCCGCTGTAAAAAACTAATGATGTCAACTTTTTTTATTTTTTTTTTAGTTTTATGGTGTCTGAAAACGGTACAATCCGAGTTATAGACTTTCCTGGGACTCCTGGCAAGCCGGCGTCACGCTGCTCCATACATCATAAAAAATACAGTCTGCAAACACGAGTCACCGCAATATCCAAGGTTCGGATGCCGCGTGCACAAGTTTCTCCTTGAACTTATCGCCATGCGGCATTCGAAGCACGTATCTCACGGTGACTCACGTTCGAATCTTTTTGCAGACTGCCTTTTATATGATGTATAAGTAGTAAAACCCCGGCTGTAGGGAATCCGCACTATGCACAGCGTCACGGTTACTTACTAGCTGTACTTACAGAGATGCATGTATCTTCCGAGAGGTCTGAACCCACTCTGTATAAAAAAGCAAAAACAAGAAGAAACGACGCGGGGAAGGTTTTACATACTCAAACAGACCGTCACGTCCAAACTCACTCTCATCCCTCAAACTTCGCATAATTACATATAGTACACGTTTTGGAAACGTCACGACCGAATTACGTTGCAGCGTCGCCGGGAGCAAAATAATGAATGGGTCACCCGACCGTCGAGACGTATAGCAAAATACGCCTCAGAGTCTTCGAACGAGGCTGGTACCCCGCAGTTCGTCCGTCCCCTCGTTCGCTCATTTCGGAGGCAACGACATCGGCTCTATATTGGATCAAATGACGCGGTGAACCAAACGACGATCTGGCCTCCGCGCTCCAAGATCCTCCCGACCATCGTATCAACCCATTTTTGCCGGCGATTCGCCGCAAACTACAGCTTCCTCGTCCTCCGCGGGAGGAGGACGACAAGAGGACCTTCTATCTTTTTTTGTTTTGTTTTTGTTCTAAAGAGTCAGAGAGGCTTGATTAATGTTTTGCGTACTCGCGGAGACTGCGACGGCCGTCCGCGCGAGCGAGTACGCGCGTGTGTGTTGCAAACTTGCTGCTCTTCTTGCATCTTAATCCGGTCCAGCTACGAGGATCGTACATCACGGCTCTTGCGAAGTTTTTGCCGTCGTCCAGACATTGTGATTCTTCTTTTAACCCTCCGAACGAGCTTTTCTATACCACGTACGCGCGGCACCACCGCCAGCGGTCGCTCGTTTATCAAGTTTCCGCTAGAGTGCCTAGATTGCAGAGTATTTCCCGGGTCACGTGATTATAGGCGGCCTTTACATATCGAGCTGCAAGGGGGTGAAGAATGCGTTTATCATCTGCAAGCGTCTCCGCCTCTCCGTCCACTTTTCTCCACACCGGTACACAACGCAACGCGTGCGCGATGGTTACCAATCGGCGAAGGATTCAGGAGGCATCCACCATAATTCTGCAAACGCTCTCCATGGTATGAGTTGCTCCCTCTCTTATATCTAAGTTCTCTAGTCT